TCTCATGCACGTATAGAAAAAAAAAAAAAAAAAAAAAAAAAAAAAAAAAAAAAAAATAAGAGACAGGAAACAAAGTTATATACAGGAAAAGTGAAAAGAGAAAATAAAATAAATGCTATAATGTGTACAAGAACTTACCTCCCTAGTAAGGGCGTCAAAAAATTGACATGACCAAAAGATTAACGTCTTCTTTCAAATGCAAAAGTATTGAAATAATAAATAACTTGGCAAGACCAGGGTCGAACTATAGAGAGGTTAAATGTGTAAATTATAGATAATAATAATACAACAACAACAACAACAACAATAACAAGAATAACAACAATAGTAGTATAGTAGTAAAAGAAGAAGAAGAAGAAATTGATGAGAACTTGAGATGAAAGATTAACATAAATATTAAATAATGATAACAACAAATATCAAGATTAGAAGATTCATTAATGGTATGTCAAACAAGTATAACATTTTTACCTTGATATAATAAACTTAACTAAACATAATGAAAGAAAGAAAAATAAATAAATAAAATAAGAACAGAAATAAGATAAAAGTTAACTAAGTAAAGGAAAAGAAATGAAAGACATGAACACGATATTAATGAAAGCAAAACTTAAGCATTATAAAAATACAAAGAGAAAAAGCAAGAGCATGATCTTAATTTGGAGACCAAGATGCCTAAATACTTGGCAAATGCCTCCTTTTATAGGCCAAAATTAGAAACTATTGATTTGATGACTAATTGATGAGTGGGTGGCTAACTCTTGACTTGTAACAATAATTATCTTCTTTTATTTGCCCAAAATATTATTGATAACATCAAAATTGAAACCACTTGAAAATATAAAAGTTGTAGGAAATTTCTCAACTTTCTAGGAAAAAACAATAAAGGTTATTTAGACTTCTAGAACTCCAGATATGAGCAAAACACTGAACAGTGTTTGGGCTGTAGGACAGATTTGGACTTTTTTTATATTGCTATAATTTGGACTTGAAAATGATATTTTTAAAACCAGACCTCAAATGAAAATTATAGGCCTATCTCTTATCTTTCCATCCATATAAAATAGACCTAAATCTGAGATCTACAACTCTAGATATGATCCAATTACCGAATAATGTTTAGGTTTGAACTGCACAAGCATCTCTTTCATAAGTTTGGTCATCTCTTTGTCCTTTCAATTTCAAATCTTAAACTCATCAATCAATTCTTTCATTTATGTGATAGGCCTGCATTTAAAATGAACGTTTACCACAAATTAAACGTATCTTATATTATTAGATATATTATGATTAATATATTTTATAACTAAGAAAAATGTTTTAAGAGAAATGCTGTTGTTGAATATATTATTAGATATTATTATAAAACATGTTGACATGATGACATAAAACCTTGATAAAAAATGCACTTGTAAGTACTAATCAATTGTCAAGGTTGGATGATCCACTAATGGTATTTTAAATGAGTATAATATAAACTCTTTTTATTCTTCAACCGAAAACCACACACAAAAGAAGTTTCAATCAGATTATAAAGTATTAACATGATTATATTAATTATTTTATTTGAGTAATATCAAACATTAAAGTCCATGTTGAGTTTATACTATACTTATTCTTACACCATTAAAGTAACATTTTTACCTTAACATAATGAACATAGTTGAACATTATGAAGAGGACAAATATAGATAAACAAGATAAGAACATAAACATGATATAAATTAACTAAGTATAGTAAAAGAAATGAAAAGTATAAATAAGAGATTAATATAACTTGAACATTACAAAATACATAGAGAGAGAGTGACCTCAATCTGAACATCAAGATGCATCTTGACTTGGTAACAATCCTTATCTTCTTATTTGCAGAAAATATCATTGTTAACATTAGAATTTGAATAGATAGTCTTCATGAAAGTTCTGGAAAATTGTCTCAACTTTCCAATAAAATAAAAATAAGTTCATTTGGACTTCTAGAACTCAAGATATGGGTTGAACACTGAACAATATTTGGGCTGCAAGACAAATTCTGATTTCTCTATTGTTACTATAATTTGAACTTGAAAACGGTCCTTTTAAATCTTAGACTCTTCATGAAAGTTTTAGGTCAATGTCTTAGCTTTCTATCCATATAAACCAAACCTAAATCCAAGTTCTATAACTTCAATTATGGTCCAATAATTGATTGGTGTTTCAATTTGAATTCAACCAGCATATCTTTTTTAAGCTTAGCATTTTCTTTATCTTCTCAATTTTAGTAGTTAAACTCATCAATCAATCCTTTGATTTTATGTGATAGGCCTGCATTTTAAAATGAATATTTACCATAAATTAAAGGTATCTTATATTATCAAACTTATTATAAAGTTATTATAAAGCATGCTCTAGTTAAGAAGTTATTGATACTTCAAGTGCAAAATAATGATACAAAACCTTGATAAAAATGTACTTTTAAGTATTAATCACACCCCCAACCAGCTTATTATTAGTCCCTAGCAATCAAAGCATTAAAATAGAAAAATAATTTACAAGTTCTACAAAGTAAGACATTCATTATTTAACTTTCATTAATCTATCTAAATAAACAATTCTCATTAAATTTTTATATCTGCTCCATATTATTGAAATAAGATATTAATAAACCTTCTTTTTATGTGCTCAATATATAAAAACATGGATGATGGGGCTTTTATTGGAAGAAAACAATATTTTGTTCTAATATTTTTCTAAAGTTAACTTTTTTGGGTTGTGATTATTATCTTTTTTTTTCTTTTTTTTTAAATATATATAGATATAACTTAAAACACAATACATCTTTAATCCATATAACGAGCTTTCAGCTAATGATTCCCAAACCAGTTGGTCTTAAGGCATCAGGTGTTGAGACACCCCTACGAGTTTAGTAATTCGGATTGCAAATACTATGACGTAGATAGTGCAATGTTTGATTTTCTTAAGTTTTTTTCCTTAACTCATGTAACAAGCTGTTGACTTTAGGGTATTAAGTGTTAAAACACCCTTTCAGGTTTAATTATTTAGGTTAGGGAGGCTACGAAAGCAAATTTGTTTATATTTTTATTATCAATTTGTTTTTTTATATAAATTATATACTATCCATTTTTTTTAGTTGTTAGTTTTAACAAAAAAAATATAAATAATATAATAATCCAATATATAACCCACAATCATATGTTAAAATGTGTGTGTGAAAATGAAGATTTAAGAATACTTGTTAAATGAGTATATAAGCAAAATTAAATGATAACAATGTGAGAGTTTGTAAACCTGAATATTTCAAGAAGTATGCTGATAGATATTAATAAGAATATTTACTAAGATGTGTCTTAAAAGTTAATAGCACAATAAACTTACTAATTTTTAGTGAAGTATAGAATATATTTTGGTAAGGAGGTGGCATAGTTAATTTTAAAAGATAGTTAATTTTAAAAGTTTTTTTCAATTAAAAATATATTAAAATAGCTTTTTTATAAAAATAAAGAAATTATATTAACATATTAAAATTATTTAAAAAATTAAAATAATATTAAAAATAATAATTTTTTTTTAAAAAAAAAACCTCTCTGAAGCAGACGGTATGACAATGCAGACACGGGATGTTAAACCCTGACCTCAAACAAGTTCCCAGCTCAGAAGCCTCCGTTTTGTGCGTGAAAACTGGAGTGGTTTCCGCTGCTGCAAAACTAACGTCCACCGCAACCAATGTGCCACGTATTTCGTAAGCCAATCCACAGACTATAATCTCATCTCTCTACTTCACCTCCTCACGCGCTCCAAAACAAAATTCAGTTATTCTCTAGTCACTGGTTTCAAGAAAAGTTGTGGCTAGTCCTTCCTTTTTTAAAATTGATTATTTATTTTCTTGACTCTGACTCATTTTAGCCCTTTTTATTAAATCCCTAATATGCCCTTTTGATAATTAAATTAATGGAGAAGAAAGGGAACATGCAAAAAGGGCTCCAGAGAAAGATTAAACAAGCGAGAAAGTACTAAATTATATTTTTCTCACATCTAGACAATGGAGCCCGTCAATTTGGTAAAGAAAGGAAAAGAAAAATGATGTTCTCGTCAATTTGGTAAAGAAAGGAAAAGAAAGATGATGTTCTTCCTCTTCCAAATTCAAGTTCGGCCTGCGGCAATCGGGATTTCAGCCCATATATATATATATATATATATATATATATATATATATGTTTTCCTATGAAAGCAAGAGATGGAAAGTGTTAAATTCTTCGTTTCTATAAAATCCTTATACAAAGTCCCTCGCCCCCTCCCAAGGGCATCTACAAAACAGTACTCCTAGTTCTGTTCCATTTCGTCTTCTTCTCTATAAACCTCCAACTCGATCTCCACCGTTAGATAAATGACTGCATCTGTCTCTGCCGTTGGTGCTGGTAACAGAGGGCTGGTACTGATTTTCCCGCCCTTTTCTTTATGTTCTCAGGTTTACCTATGTATTGTGTTAGATTTTATCGATTGAGCCCATGAATCTTTTTCTTGTTTTCATCCAAAAAAAAAATGTAGCATTGTTTCTAGCTTTTCGATTTTAGTACACAAGCAAGATTCGTTGTTCTTTGCAGAGAAAGTACAGGATAATCACATGATTATAAGTTTAGTTGAAGAACCTTTTTCTTTTTGTCTTGTTTTTTTGTTTGAAATACAATTGAAAGAGATGGAGTTGGTGCTGTGTTTACAGTGTTTTGGTTCATCGATGACAAAGAAACAAGTTTCTTATGTGCAGTTGAATTTAAAAGGCGCTGGCTCTGGACCCTTATGGCCAACCTCTGCATTCATTGACAATAGCTTGAGAACGGTACTAGGCTCAAAGATCACCAACCAGAGGCTCTTGACACGGAATTTGAAGCTTGCTGCCGAATATGATAAGGAAAAGCAGCCCTCGAAAGACAAATGGAAGGGGCTTGCATTTGACACATCGGATGACCAACAGGACATTACCAGAGGTAAGGGAATGGTTGACTCTCTCTTCCAAGCTCCCATGGGGACAGGAACTCACTATGCTGTCATGAGCTCCTATGACTACACCAGCAAAGGTCTAAGACAGTAAGTAGATCAATTTTTCTGAGTTGAAGATCCAGGAACTCGATTTATAAATATTCCTGGGATGGATAACTATGCTTGATCCTTGTTATTCGGCATGGAATTTTGAACCTCGAGGTCTTAATTATTGATCTGTATTTAGGTACAAACTGGACAACAAAATGGATGGCTTCTACATCGCATCTTCATTTATGGACAAACTTGTTGTTCACATCACCAAGAATTTCTTGCAACTCCCAAGCATTAAGGCAAGTATTTGGCTTTTTATTTTTTGTAGTTTTGAGAATTATTCAACCTTTTAGTATTGCTATATTGACACACGAAAAAAAAAAAAAAACGTGGTTCATATAATAATTATTGTAACAGGTTCCTCTCATATTGGGTATCTGGGGAGGCAAAGGTCAAGGAAAATCATTTCAGTGTGAGCTTGTCTTTGCCAAGATGGGAATCAAGTGAGTTGATATAATTTTCGCCCCCCACCCCCCCCCTTCTCTCTCTGTTTTTTTTTCCAAGGATTTTGATTTCAAGTTCAAGATAAGAGAGGAAGCCCAGTTTTGAAAATTTTGACTACAAATACTTGAATGCTTACTCTCTGATATTATGCTGATGAATATTCAGCCCCATTGTGATGAGTGCTGGAGAATTGGAAAGTGGGAACGCTGGTGAGCCTGCAAAATTGATCAGACAAAGGTATCGTGAGGCAGCGGACATCATCAAGAAGAAAGGAAAGATGTGCTGCCTGTTCATCAATGATCTTGATGCTGGAGCTGGTAGGTTTGGTGGAACTACCCAATACACAGTAAACAATCAGATGGTTAATGCTACCCTCATGAACATTGCTGATAACCCGACCAGTGTCCAGCTCCCAGGTATGTACAACAAGGAGGAGAACCCCCGCGTTCCGATCATTGTCACTGGTAATGACTTCTCAACGTTGTATGCCCCTCTCATCCGTGATGGCCGAATGGAGAAATTCTACTGGGCCCCTACTCGGGAAGACCGAATTGGTGTGTGCACTGGGATATTTGGCAGTGATAATGTTCCCAGGGAGGACATTGTCAAGCTTGTCAACACTTTCCATGGGCAATCCATTGGTAAGGTTTACACAATTATTTTATATTTACTCCTAGAAAAGTTTTGATCTAAGAGTCAATGGTGCATTCAAGCCGTGCAATCCAAACCATGAAACAGCTGAAGATAAGCATAAATGGTTGAGCAATTTAATTAGTAGATAATTGACTGAACACGTTTTGCATTAGAGTGAGAAGAACAACTCTCGAACTTCAAGCCACTAGTTTTCTGATTAAGCCATGTTCAATTTGGTTTTGATTGTGAGACGTAATTTTGTTATACTAGAATATGAATGCTGATGACCATCTCTGTTTTGAGTGTAGACTTCTTCGGTGCACTTAGGGCAAGAGCATATGATGACGAAGTGAGGAAGTGGATTTCTGGTGTGGGTGTAGAAAATGTTGGGAAAAGGCTTGTGAACTCAAAGGAAGGAACTCCAACTTTGGAAAAACCGAAGATGACTCTCGAGAAGCTCCTTGAGTATGGCAACATGCTTGTCCTGGAGCAGGAGAACGTGAAGAGAGTCCGGTTGTCTGACAAATACTTGAAAGAGGCAGCTCTTGGAGAAGCAAATGAAGATGCCATGAAGAACGGAAGCTTCTATGGTTAGACCTTGGTCCAAATTAAACGCCTTGATGAGATATTTACATCTGGCTTTAGGATTGTGCAATAAAGATATCAGAAGAAATAATCAAGCTTTTCTATAATTTTTTGGACACAAGCAAAGCCGCCCAACGGGTCAACCTTCCTGTTCCAGAAGACTCCACTGATTCATTGGCAGAGAACTTTCATCCAACCGCTAGGAGTGATGATGGCAGCTGCCTCTGTCAATTTTAGGCCTCCCTTATAAACGTTATTACGTTGTAAAGATGGTATACTCTAGAATGAGTTGGCAACTCTGTCTCATTTATTGGTTTAACTTATAATTGAGTTAATAAAGATGATGTACAGGCGCAAAAGGTACGGGAGGGAGCTATCTCTACAATATTGGTAGCTTTTGGTGCATTTAATTTAGGAGTAGCGATAATGAAAGTAATTTTTCATAGACTCTTTGTATTTATTTTTCAAACTTTTAGTTTGATTTTTTATTTGATTGTTTTGGGACTTAGGTTTTCTAATAGGTTTTAAGGAGTTGAAGTTGATGCTGATGATTTGAGATGAAGAAAATAGAGTATTGTATATTTGAAATTGGCTTTTCTTACCTTTATAATTGCCTTCAACGTGATTAGCCTTCTTTTCTTCTTTTTTTTTTTTTCCTGAAAGCGCCTTTTCCTTTACAAGTGTGAAGATTCTAAGACTCTTCACTTATTGCTTTCTACGCTTTGCCATTACAACAACATTAGTGAATGACATTGCCAAACTACTCATCCATGCTCGTAGTACGGTACCTTTTGAGTGCGTTAACAAATAAAATAATCATTTTATTATCTAAAAAGATGAGAGTATTCCCTTATGCTTTTATTGTTTCCTTTTTCTAAATTAGACAAGCTAGTTGTTCTATAAAAAAACAATGTTTATGTTATACTTGTATTATTTGATGGAAACATTTATCAAATTTTTAATATTATTTAGTTTTATATACCAATTTAATACAACTTCACCCAAATAATATTGGGAAAAGTGTATTAGAAACTTCTTATCATGTATTATTTCTATCATTTTGTTGCAGTAAGATTTGAAATAGGTAATGAGGCATTGTGTTTCGATGTATTTAATGAATTTTGAAACTCAAAAATTATATGGTACTACCATGTTCGGGACTAGACATATCTTTGTGGCTTTTACTAGGTCATACAAGTCTATCTCTTCAATAGCCCTTTTCTTGGCTTATAATGTTGCCATTTTATCTTATCAATATTATTAAATGGTCTTGTTTTATGGGATTCATATGTGAATATAGCTGGTATTGGTATCATTGACTGCATAAAAGTTGGATTATATTGGGGATCTTGAGCCCTTTCTCCTGTTATTTCTTCGGGCTGAGTTACTACTTGATTTTGAACAAAAATGGTAAGTTTATTGGAAGGACCCTCACCAGAGACATTCTTTAGTGCTTGCTCAAGTAAGCTAGTGAGGAGAGCCACACTAACTTTTAAAGAATCCAACTCTTCCTATAAGTGAGCATCATGGTAAGCGCGTTCTTCATCTTTCATGTTTCTTTGTTAAAATCGAGTGTTATAGATTTTATGGATTGAAGCTTTTTAGGGACTTATATTTTAATTCGGTGTATGTATGTTTGTTATTTACAATGAATAGACATATGTGTGTGGATACAAATGTATGTACATGCACATCAAGTATGGATTAACCTATTTAAGGAGCTAATCCATGATCTCCTTATCAAGCACAAGTAGAATCCGCAGTCTGATAAATTTAAAGATGTTTTACCCAAGTTCTTAGGTCAATTGAATCTCATACACATTAAAAAGTAGGTATTTGCTTATTTCATTTATAAAGAACAAGTTTTCATAAAAATAGTCTTTTCTATTTAAATATTACTCCTCTATTGGCTACATTCTTGATAAAAGAGGAGACTTCATTCAAATATTTTTCATATTTGAAGATGTTGTTGTCAATCCTGGAAGCTTTTACCCACAACTCGTTTGCCTTTTAGGCCACTATATCAATTAGCCTATCATTTTTTTCAATCTACTAGTGGAACAAAGTGTTATCATGAAGCAGTGTTTCATTATTGGTGGCTAATGATTTGTTGTTCTTTCCTAGCATTTGAACCATCTTTTCTAGTCGTTAGATTTGGTTTCTGGCCCTTTATTGTTCTTCCTTCTCTATATCAAATTTAGTTATCTAGGTATTTAACTGTACATTGAAGTTACTAATATAGTCCTGCCACTTTTTGAAGACTTTGGTTTTAACTTGTGGTTAATGAACATAATTTACAAATTAAATATAGGATTCACTTGTATTGAATTAAGATTTTGTTGAAAATTATTCTTCAATATAAGTATTTTAACATGTTTAAAATCATTTATGGGTGAAAGAAAAATTAATCTTAAAAAAATTTTGATTGACATATTTTTTCAAATTCAAAAGGATCTTAGTTTTAAGTTAAAAAATTACAAGATTTTTTTTTTATGGTTTATATAGTGAAAAAATAAACTATAAAAAATAGGCTTGCAAGACATTAAAATTATTAGAGGGCTCACATAGGTTATGTGAGTTTTAAAATTAAATGATTTAGATTTGGGTTTGAGTTTATTATAAATAATTTTTTGGTACAAAAGAATTATTTTTAAGTCAACCCATATAAAATATGTTAAAATTTAGTAGTTTGTTTGACAAGTTTCTTACATTAACACTTGAAAAGTTTAAAGTATTAAATGTCTTGCAATTAGTAAAAAAAATGTCAGAATTGGTTCTCATAATTCAGAATTAATAATTACTGCTCGGGTCTCTATTTAAATCAAGGTTGTCAATTTTGTTATGTTCCTCTTGGAATGACAAATATCTCTTGTTTGAGTTCAAAAACATAATAAACCATAATAGATTTTATCTTATTTAAAATATCAGCCCAAGAATTTCGCCTAGAACATTTTGGTTCCATACTAGCCATCATGTTCCTGCCAAATAGTATTTTTTTTGTTTTTACTTTTATTAAAAAATATTTTTTTCTTTAATTTTATCCACGAACACTTGATTTATTAAATATTAAATTTCATAATTTATTGTGGTTTGTCTTTTTTATAGTTATCTCAGTGTTATGGTCCACATTACAGGTTTGATAAGTTAACCCAATTACTCAAATGTTTTTTTTTTATTTTTTAATTAACTTTTGTTTTTGGAGAAAACCCAACATATGAAAAGAAAAAAAAGATTTGCTTTTCTCTTTTATTTTCATCTTTTTTTTTTTGTTTTTGGGTGTGTTTATACAAGTTTTATCTAGTTTATTGAATTTGTTCATGTTTGGGTGTTTTCCCTTTGCATGTGTGATTTACTTTACTTTAGATATTAGAGCTTGCTTTCGTACAAAACAACATGTTGGATTTTTATCTCAAAACCTAAGAGTTTTATTTTATCTTTTAATCTTCTAATGATTGATAATAATATATTTGTTATAGGTTTAAACTAGTTGAATTTGATAAAGGTATAAACCAGACGAATGAGTTTACTTGTAATATTTTAAGCTTAATTAGTTTGGAAATTGACTTCAAAATTATGTCATGATGACTTAACTGATTTTACCTTTTGTGAGTTTTTTAGCTTTCAACATGATTATATGATGAGTGTTATACATTTAAAGGATATGAATTTTCAAAACTTGCTTAATATATTATAAAGACTATATTGACATTACATGTTTGCATGAACATGAGAAGGGCATGTATGAATTTGACCATTTAAGTCTAAAAAGTCAACCTAGAGTATGTTATCCATTAATAAGCTCTTTTGAGATTTTTTTTTCTTTCCTATACTTCATGAGCCTTAATTTTTCATATGTTTCTTTATTCCTAGCCAAGGACTAGTAAAACATATGTGTGATGTTTATATGGGTTCATAGTTGGAAAGTTTGAGAAAAAATAGTTATATGATGGAGTTTTGTGTTGAATTTGAGTATGATCACTTTTAGCCAAATCAAGTATATATAAAAAAAAAGTTGAAACATGATGGTGCTAGATAGAATTAAAAGAATTCCTTTATAATTTTAATGAGAATATATTGTGGGATTTAAAATAAAAAGAAGCTAAGTATTTATGCTTTGATGATGATGAATACACGTGCTTTGGTGATTATATGCTATTAAGTTTGTCATTTATATGTTATACTAGATTCTTTGGTTATTAACTTTTTCTTTACTCTTTTTTTTTTTACCTTATCTTAATCATATCTCCATTATAAATAAAAACCATTTAATTCATATATTGATTATAATATTTAGTAGTGGAGCTTTTTCTTCACCTTTTATTACCTCATCTTAACCATATCCCTATTACAAATAAAGACCATTTAATTCATATGTTGCTTATAATATTTATTATTGAAGATAAAATTGGAAAGCAAGTATATGACCGCTCATAACATTGAACGATTTTGAGTGAAAAAATATAAGTCATAAACACTTCAGTGTTAAAGAGTATTATTTTGGTACGACAAACATTTTATTTAAGTTTCAAAAGTTAAAAAAGATTTGAAAATTGCATTGTGAATAAATTCATGAAATTTGATGATTTAAACTATTCAAACTTGTTACTTGCCTATAATGTTTATAATCTTTGATTTTGTTGACAAATTGGAAGAAAAATTGAATAATAAGGTGGTTTTGTCTTAATTTCTTTCTTTCTTTTTTCAATTTTCTTGTTTTTGTTTTGAGTCCTTAGTTTTTCCTTCTTTTTGAATTTTGAGTCTTATTTTTAGAGTTTATTGTCTTTGACTTTTCTTTTTCTTGCTCAAAGATATGCAAGATCTAAGTTTGAGGGAATTTAATACAATCATATTATTATATCTTTTTAGTTTTTTATTCTTAGTCTTTTATTCATGTTTTATGTTTTACAATAACTTATTTAACTTATTTTGTACTTAATAGTGTTATAGAGACATAAATGTAAAAATAAGCTAAATGAATTATTTTTAGCACAATTTTAAACAAAGGACTAAAAAGAGAACATTGAGATTAGTTAATGGGGATGATAATAGAAAATCCTAATTGAATTAGGAATCCAACTTGATAAAAGAATCCTGGTGGGATTAGGATTGGTCAAATAAAATTTATTAGACTAAACTATTGTGTACTCTTTAGATCATATCTAAAGCTATAAATAGAATTTTGTTATGATTCAAGTTGCAATAAAAATTAGATATTTTAAACTTTTCAGTCATATAGGGTATGCTCAAAAATATATTTGAAATTAACTTAAAATTTACCACTAGATTAACTTGAGTCTAGCCTATTTTTTCATGTTCGAATGATAACACGATAGCTCATTAATTATATGAAAAATATTTTATAAAACCAAGAAACCTTTCCAGAAAGTTAAAGTTAATGTACAAACCATTAGAATCAAAATACTATAAAAAAACCTAAAAATAGTCTTACAAGGAAATGATTAACTAGAAAACTCCTCCACCTCCCTAACTTAATATATACCTAGTCCTAACCTCTACATGGGAGAAGAGAGTGATGGCTATTGCTGTTTTTAGAATTATTCTTTTATATCCTTTTATTT